ATAATTCTGAAAATGTTGGGTTCCAGTGGCATCTAGGGGTAGAGAGGGGTGGAGAAAAGAGAAGGATTGGAAGAAAAAAATGCTCATTAAATCTTATACTGCTCTTAATTAGTTTTAGGTCTCTTCGTTTTCCATTCCCTACAGATGCTAGTTGTCACACAAGAACACAGGTAGTTTATTAGAACTCTTTGTATCCTGTGACCATTAGAGGTAAAGCACTCAATTGTTTATTATTCTGGGTGATAATCTATCAGTTGCCCAGTTTTAAAGATGCTCTTGTAAAATGTGCAATAGTAAGAAATTCTACTCATTTTTCACCGACTGTGTAAAAAAGAAAAAAAAAATAGAAGAAATTCTTCTACTCATATGACAGTATACCATATTGTCCTAACGTAAGAATTAATTTGTGGTTTCCTTCCTACTAGGTTTGTTCTTAACACAAAGATTAGCATGCCACATGAAGACCACATCACAGCTCTCTGTTTCTGTAATGCAGAAAAATCTGAAAACCCCACCTTGGTTACAGCTAGTAAAGATGGTCACTTCAAAGTGTGGATATTAACAGACGATTCTGATATATACAGTAAGTTAATTAAAGAGTGCATAATTATAAGAATCGATATATTTACTTCATGACTTGTATCCATTCTGGGAGGACATTTTCTACCTTTTTGAAATCCATAGGGATGTTGCTTAATTCTAACATTTAAGAGATTACATTTTTGCATGCTTTTTCCTCCAGATTTATACTTCTTAAATGGCGTGCTTGATTAATCGTGTGCTGTTTATTCTGGTTTGTGAGGGTACAGTAAAAAGGGCTTTTGCCATTAGTCCTTTTATTCCTCCACTAGAAGGAGGTCAGGATCTCCAGGAAGGGGCATAAATTTCAAATCAGTTAATACTTCGTAGCACTTCTAATTTAAAGAAGTTATGGTGAGCAGATTTTTTTGTTTTGTCTTTGTTTCTTAATCCTCACTGCTTATAGTGTTCTTCTATATAGTATTCCCCCTTATCTGTGAAGGATACATTCCAGGACCCGCAGTGGGAGCCTGAAACTGCAGATATTACAGAATCTTATATGTACTGTGTTTTTTCCTGTACATATATACCTATGATAAGGTTTAAATTAGGCACAGTAAGTAATTAAAAACAATAACTAATAATAAAATAGAACAGTTATTAAAATATACTGTAATAAAAGTTATGTGAACGTGGTGTCTCTCTCTTTCAAAACATCTTGTCATACTGTACTCACCTATTTTTGGCCTATAGTTGACCACTGGTAACTGAAACTACAGAAAGTAAAACCATGGATAAGGGGAGATCATTGTCATGTCATCTAGCATTTATACCATTTCTGAACGTTATGACTTATGTTTTCACAGAAAAAGCTGTTGGCTGGACCTGTGACTTTGTGGGTAGTTATCACAAGTATCAAGCAACTAACTGTTGTTTCTCTGAAGATGGCTCTTTACTAGTAGTTAGTTTTGAGGAAATAGTCACGATATGGGATTCAGAAACATGGGAACTTAAATGTACATTTTGCCAACGAGCTGGGAAAATAAGGTAGGTAAATCATTGGTAGAGTATATAGTAGGTTTTTTTATTTAAGAAGTCTTTAAATTTTAATGA